AAAAAGTGATAAAATAATATATTCTAGCGTAAGTTGAGTATACTTTTGATTTTGATAAATTTTTTTTTCAGTTTTAACATTTTATTCTCTAATAAGAATCATATATTTTGTTTTTCATATAGAAGTACATGTACAAGTACTTGTACAAGTACTTGTACATGTACGTTCACTAGTCAAAATTAAATAGAGGTAATAATTTTATCATTATTAGGTAGATATATGTGATGCTGTTACTAGAAATGCAGACAACGTATTTAGAATTATAAATACCAATTCTTAAATTAAATCATAAAGCTTTTAATTAGATTTAGCATTACGGCTTAATCTTAAATATTTCTTTATTTGTTTGTTATAATATAGAGTTTTGTATTATGATTTTATCAACTGACTTAGTTTGCAATCATATAGAGCAATTTTAGAAAATATAAAGATCACTAAATCGATATAAGTAAATTGAAACCTTCTACCTAAATAGCATACAGAGTATAGCAATCATTTAATGTTTAGACTGGGATATGTCTTTTTTGGATAGGTTCAAGCATTAGGTTCGAAGTTTGCAGTCCAGTCTGTATATTTTTTGTGGCTTAGCTCATTATGTAAACAACAAATCTGCTCGCATAATAAGCTAAACCACAAAAAACATACCAGACCAGACTCTAAACTTCCAACTAGATAAATATATTCAGACTCGAACTAGTCTGCAAACTTCAAAGCAGACCCAGACTAGACATATAATTAAGTTTGAGTCTAGTATGAAGTTCAAAGTTAGTAAAATTTAGAGTCTGAGTCTAGTTCAATCTCAGACCAGACCCAGACCAGACCAAACCCAGACCAGACCTAGGAGTACTATCATAATCTTTAAAATTTTTGTTGCTAAAACTTTCTGGGTAAGTAATTTAAATTCTTTTTTATTAGTATTTTTTTTTTTGCCAACTTTTTTAATACTTTGGAAACTTTATCTTGGTTTTGAATTTTTCTTGGACTTGGACTTGGACTTCTCTTAAAATTTTTCTTGGACTTTCACTTGGACTTTCTTTTGGATTTTTGCTCAGACTTTCTCTTAAACTTTTGCTCATTTTTTCTTAGATTTTTTGAATTCTCGCCAGGACTTTTATTTTGATTTTGTTTTTGTTTTTCTTTTCTCTTTTTTTTTTGTCTTTTTTTTTTGTTTTTCTATTTTTTTTTTTCGCACATCTATTTTTTCTTTCCCCAATCTGTTCTTTTGTTCCTCTTTTTTTTGTTTGCATTTCTTTCATTTGCATTTTTTAACTAATATTTCTTCTCTTTTTAGTTGTAATTTTAGCATTGCCAAAATTATAGTCCTTGGGGTTTTTTTGTCCTTTGTCACTGAAATTTTCGAGTAAGTAATTTAAATGTTTTTTTATTAGTATTTTTTTTTTTTGCTAACTTTTTTAACACTTGTCAGGAACTTTCTCCTAGTCTTGGATTTACGCTTGGACTTGGACTTCCATTTGAACTTTTTTTTGAACTTTCACTCAGATCTTTTGGGATTTTGCTTGGACTTTTCACTTAAATTCCTGCTGGGACTTTTGTTACAATTTTGCTTTTCTTTTTCTTTTCTCTTAGTTTTTTTTTTCTTTTCTTGCTCTTTTTTTTTCACTCTTTTTTCACCCTTCTTTTTTTTTCACTTTTCTATTTTTTTTCACCATCTATTTTTTTTTCACCTATCTATTTTTTTTTCACCTATCTATTTTTTCTTTTCTTAATCTGTTTTCTTAATTTTTTTTTTCTTTCTTTTTTTTTTTGCATTTTTTTCATTCACATTTTTTAAACTAATATTCTTCTCTTTCTATATAGTTATAATTCTAGTATTACCAAAATTATAGTCTTTGGAGTTTTCATTGCTAGAGCTGCTGAATTTTCATCACTAAATTTTTTGGGTAAGTAATTTAAATGTTTTATTAGTATTTTTTTTGCCAATTTTTGACACTTATCAGAAACTTTTTCTTGGTCTTGGACTTTCTTT